ATTCTGAATCTGAAAAAAGTCTCGTTAAAAATCATAGTAATAATCATACATTTTAAGAATTATTTTAGAATAAGTATATTCTATATATATATAATGTGTAGAAATTCATCAAAGTATAAATATTTATATTGCAAATGACACGTGCAGTTTATTTTAATGTCAAAAAAATACTTTCTAAAATAATTTTAATCTAAGTTTAAAAATAAAAATATCTCCATCAGTTAATGAAACGTGAACATGTGTTTCTAAAAAAGCATTTAAGCTATTGTTTAGAAATTATTAGTATTCTTAGAAGTTATTAGCATTTCTATTATTTAGAAAATGTTTTTTTTTAAGAATTATATCATTTAACGTTACGGGTCTAGGGACAAAATGCAATATATACAAATTTACAAGACTATACAAGGTCTACAAGAAGACAAAAAATGCCTTGTGGCAAAATTACCACTCTGGTAAAAAAATAAACCATAACTCTGGTTAATAAAACCAAATAATAAGGTATTTAAAACTTTCATTTGGTTACTTTTACGTTCATAAGGTAAAGGTCAACCGGAAATTTTGGTTTTTAAAATATAGTTCTTACTACTACTTATTTAGTAAAAAATGCAAAACTGATTTATAATATACTGATTTAAAATATCAACAATAAACTCAATAAGCAAAGAAAACTGCATTGTTAAAACATATCGTCAACAGTACCTTGCACGTTTTGCGATAATGGCGCGGCCAAAAGTGAGGAATCACCAACTCTCATCGATGAGGTTTGCAAAGCTCGAGTTAATTCTTGTTCCAGCAGATCACCACTCACACTTTTGCTCACTTGAAGTGTGAAATTGACAATGACGCCATCTCCTCTGTTCTGAATGGTCGGCACAGTTGTAAAACTGTTCGGCTCCATTACATCTACTGGAAGGATTCCATTGACTTCAGCATCCAACACGTGATCTCTTACATTAGTTATACTGTATGCATCAGCAATCTGTTTACAGGAAAATAATTTGTTAAATTAGTTCAAAGTTATGAAATTCAAAATCTTGAAATCAAATGACAAAATTCAAAAATTCATTAAATTAGTTCAAAATGATGAATTTAAAAATTTTAGTTCGAAATCTCAGTATTTAAACTGATTGATGTAGAAAAAATAAGTAATTTGACAAAAATTTAGAAAATATCTTATTTCTTAACATTACGTTTGATTTGCTTTGCTAATAGTTAACTATGTTGAAAAAGTGCAATTAAAAAGTGACCTGAATATTTCTAAAAATTAACCTAATGGTTAGTATTTACCTCAAAAATTACGGCCCTGAAAGTACTTTTCTAAAAATAGCTTAAAAACTTCCTATAAAGAAGTTGTCAGAAATTATTTAAAGAATCTGAATATTAGAGCATGTGTTATTTAAAATTTAGAAAATGCCTGATTTTCTGGCGTTATCCTGAGCTATATATATGTGTATGCTTCATATTAAGACTACGAAACAAATCATACAACAGAAAAGACTCATCAATAGAACAGACTCATATTTATCCAAACAAGTACTTTAATTTGTATAAAAAAATAAGTATATTATTTTTTTAATGTAAGATAATATATATAAAGAGAAATTTAATTACAATTAATTAATCATTTAAAGTGTTCATAAAATGTTTAAATCATGATTCTAAACAAAATGTAAATACAATAATATGCATCTGAATAATCTAATAGTGAGCAGATGTAACTGAATAATCTAAATAATTTATAAAAGTATATGAGTTCAAAAAATTTATGAAAAAAAAATAATAATCCTAAATAATATATAATACATTGATGAGATAAATGGACAAAAAAAAAGTCTCGTTAAAAATCATAGTAATAATCATACATTTTAAGAATTATTTTAGAATAAGTATATTCTCAGGGTATAACTTAAAGCTATGATTTATATTCTTCATTTGTTAAAAAATTGATTTAGAAGTAATGATTACTACGATCTCGGTCAAGACAATAGATTTAATATTTTAATTATTTCTTAAAGCACGTATCTTTTTATCTCTATTTTCATAATTGTTATATCCGTTTAAATGAAATCGGTGTATGCACTTACTAAGAAAATGCATAACTTTTTAAAGTCTACTATATATCATTAGAAACAAAATTCTTGAAACCAAATCAAAAGTCCAATTAATTTTTTTTTAAGAACTGAACTAAAAATTGTAGTGACTTACTCCATCTATAGCACTCCTGACAAACTCCTTATATTCAGGACTTCCGTTATCTGCTAGGGAATTACTGTATTGAATACTCTCATTGCCCATTTTTACAACTTTCAGAAGAACTACAAACGTTTGAATTTCTGAAAAATGATAATGCAAGCATAAATATATTTAAATAACATTACTTTGTTTTATAAAATTAAGAAAGAAATTTATCTTTTTAAATTCTTTGTACATCAAATACAAATTTCAAAATTGACCGTAGTAACTACATCACCTGTTCTTCTTACGTGGTAAAAAAAGAATCAGTAAATCAGTACTGAACAATCAAAAATATCATGCAAAAAACAGAAAGTTTAATAATTAAGCTAAACAAATTCCTATTTTCGTTTTATTTATCATCATTTGCTGCCCTTTTAGGTGGCTTTAAGTTTTTGAACTAAGCAAAACACGTATTTAGTAGTTCATCCCAACGAAATAAAAATTAACTTTATTCAGTATCAACTGTCATAATGCTATTGCTTAAGGCAACTTATGATGTTTCAAACTTTACCACAATCAAGCTACTTTCTCCTGTATTTATATCCCAGAGGAGTCGTAAAAACCTATCATAAAAATGTACAGTGTTGGTACCGCTGTATTGATTTAGCAAGTATTTTGTACCTACTTAAGAGTATATTTGGTACCTGTAAAAACTGAACCATTGCCAATATTACATATTTTCTAAATTATTATATTATTGATCATATTTTCTAAATTATTATATTATCATTATTGATGTCAATATTATTATATTGACGTTTTACGGTTCCCCTTAACGAATAAGAATATTTTCTCCATAAATTCTGCTTTTTTGTACATGGCTTATTTTTTGTTTCAGTTAATACCTATTACCAAAATTGATTAACAAGCATTGAAGTCGATAAAGTTTTCCAAATTTTTACACTCTCTAAAGCGAATTAGTACCATTTTTGCATTGATTTTGCTTTTTAGTACGTAGTTTATTTTTTACTTCAAGTAGAAGCTATTAATAAAATTAATTATAATTATAATCGAAATATTGACTTTTTTTACGTTTCTCTTAAGACAAATTAGTGCCATTTTTTTCCCATTGACTTTGTTTTTCAGAGCAAAACTTTTTTTATTTCAATTAACAGTTGATTTTAAATTACTTAGTCTCATGGTAACAAGTTTTGAAAGCATAACTATAAAAAAATAAACAAATGGTTTTACATAATTTAAGAATACTAATTTGATGACGTAGTATGCCTGTGTTACCACGATTATATTGATCATTCAGGCTAAAGTCTGGCATAAAGTCTGGCACCCCAACTCTTTGTTTCATTTTATGTATAAATAATAGTGCAGTTGTAAGTAAATATAAAGGAAAAAGCAATGTTTTATTTCCTAAAACTTATAAAATAATAGACGAATCTCTATAAGTCGAAAATTAATGATGAGTTAACAACAGACGGATAGTGTTTTATTATTATTATTTAATCTCATGTGCTCATTTCTCTCAGTTTTTATTATTTCTCTTAGTCATATAATATGAAAACTTTTTTTGTACCATATTCCACAGTTTTGTTTTTCGATATTAGTTTTAAAACATTAATAACTAACACGATTTGGATATTCTATTTGCAGTTATCTAGCAATATTTGCAACTGTTTTTAGTATTTAAAAGTACTTTTCCTCGTACTTGCTTTTGTATTTGATATTGATGAGAATTTTGTAATTTTGTTTAGAATGAGTCTATGAATACGAGTTATTCACTATAATTTTGTTACATTGTCAAGTTCCTTTAACTGTGAATACCAGAAAAGGCTCCAGTAGAATCCAGCTGTTATTTTTCTCTAAATTTCAAACGTTAATTAAGGATAAAACACTTCTCGGTTAAGGAATACCTACGCCAGTCTCTTCGGACTATTAGGGTAAAAGCTAAAGTCGTCAGTAGTTTGGCTGTATTTGTGTTAACATAAAGTTAAAGCACATATGTTAAAAATATAGAGTGGCTGAAAAAAAATTAATTTAGTTTATCAATGGTATGTTACCTTTACAAATTTCGTGATCATTTCTTCTTGCATGTCCTGGACGGCACTGACAAGACCAAAATCCATTTTCTTCCTTGCAAACTTCTTTTTTATATGGTTGGCATTTTGGATCACAAACGCCATTTCTACCATTTAAGAAAGGGTCATCTTCAGGCTTGCTACTCTCTGTAACAACTATTGGTGGACGATGGGCCGGTTCTTCAAGAATGACATCTGGACGGTAATCGTGAAGTCTGGGACCAGCGGCTCTCAAATAAGATTCGTCTCTAGATTTTTGAGGACCTTTCGAAACTATTAAGTCGTTCTCTTCGCTAATACCTACAGTACTGTCTCCAACTTCAGGAGGTTTCGCCGGTGTTTCTGTGCCAGCACTGAAAACATCGGATTCGGGAAGAGATTGAGAGGAAGAATGACTTTCTGATGTGGAGGATTTGGTTGCTGCGTTTGTTGGTAGAACTAATGTCCTGATGACGGTAGAAGGTATGGAATTGAAGATTAAAGTTGTGGTAGTAACAGTTGTGGTGTGCTCTGATGGTTGAATTGTTCTGTGAATTTGAACGGTTTCTGATGGCTCTGGAAGAATGCCTAGAATAGTTCTTGAGCCGATTATAGTTGATACAAAAGTCCGAGGGGGAATGGTTGTGGTATACACAGAAGGTACAGTAAGAGTCGAGTCCCTGGTGTAATAAGTTCTCGTTGTTGTTAATGCGAGTGTTCGCGTAATACTTTCAATGCTAGTAACATACCTTGTTGATATGGGATTTACGGTATATTTTGGAACATTACCAGGGAAAAATATTGTTGTAGCGCCAGAAGTTGTTCGACTTACTACTGTTTGTCCATCTTTGGTCACGGTTGTAAACGGTTTAGGTTTGTTTGCAAGTGAGTTAACACGTCCAGTTATTGAATTAGTAGTAGATTTTGAAGAGGCATCTTTATCACCAGAAGATCCAAAAAATACTGTCCTGATACCGCTTACAATGCTTGTTCCAATACTTGGTTTTAAAGTTGGAGTTTCTCGGATAGTACTTTTCTCGGATGACATAGATGATTCTATTTCAGTTTCCGACATTGGTTCAATATTTGGTATTCTTGCTTCAATAATTTCAGATGCAGTATCTCTAGAACTGCTTTTTGTTGACTCAGTTGTAGATGTTTTGGTTGGTAAAATGAAAACAGTTCTGGCACCTGTTATCACGCTAGTTGATACCACAAGGGATTTGTCTGTTGCTGTTTTCTTGCTCTGACTTGCAGTTGTGTCGCTTGAAGACTCCATGACTTCAGAAGACTCTTTATCAGTATGCTTAGTTGGTGGTACATAAACCGGTGCAAGTACTTCTGTAGTACTTGTATCAGTTTCATTTTCAGGTTGTCCAGGGAGAACAAAAACAGGATAGTCTGAGTCTCTAAATTCCCCTTCTAAAGTAGTACCAACTTCTGTTATGTTTTCAAGCAACGATTTTTCTGGTGTAGTATTAGAGCTTTCAGTTGTAGACTCCGTCTGTTTCTGATTTTCTGTTGTTGATTCCGATGTTGTGGTTTCTGTAGTCAGAGATTCTGAATCTGTTTTATTTTTCTTGCCAGTAATTCGACTGACAATATCTTGTATAGTTAAACCAAAGTCACCACCTAAAGCGGTATTTCCACCTAGTAAATCCGATAATTCAATGACAGTTGCTGGTTTAATTTCCGAACTTGTAGTTTCAGTATGCTCTTCTATTTTTGGTGTATATATTGGGGAAAGCGCAACGGCATCTATTTCTGGTATTTTTGTTACAAAACCATCTGTTCCAGTTACCACAACTAGTGTGTCACTGGGGACTAATTTTGTTATTTGACCATTAATTCCGATCACTTCTGTTTCTTCGGTAACCAAACTTGTTGACGTAACGGGTAGGAGAACATTTTCTGACTCACTTCCTTCTACGGAGGGTAACAACGAATCAGTCGATGTAGATAGTTTCAATTCAACCGCATCTTCCTTCATTGATGAGCTAAGAACATAAATACTGCTTATAACATCCTCCGTTTTCGAAGATAAAGATGGAGTTGATAATGACGTCGGTCCAATTTCTGAGTGAACTTCACTGGCTACTTCTATTTTAGTTTCAACTGCCGATGCCACAGCTGTAGCAATTACGCTAGATACGCCAATAATTTGAATATCACTTAGATCCTCTTTTAAGCTACTGACTATTTCGCTTCCACTTACAGTTGAAACTCCTAAAATGGTTTCATCTACTGGCGTTGATTCTATTGTTTCTAATAATGATGTAGATGGCGCTTCAATTGTAACAAACTGAGTGACTACGCTTTCACTGGAAGCAATAACAGGATCTGTACCACTGAAATAAGTTGTATAATACGTAAATGTAGTCAGGAATGTCAAAATTGATTCGTCTGTGGTGGTTGTTTCTGTGGGTGCAATGGAAGATGGCGTAATTGTGGCGGTTATAATCTCAGGTACAACATGCTCACTTGATATAACAACAATTTCATCACCGCTGAATAAAGTTGTATACAATGTAAGCGTTGAATAATCTGTTGTAGTAAAAACAAACACAGATGGATCTATTGTTGATGTAGGTTGGGGTGTTTCTGTTTTCACGAACGCTGTTGCTGTTGTCGTTACGAGAGATGGTGGAACAAATAGAGTTATAAAGCTCGTTAAAATTTCTTCCTGACTAGCAACTATTGAACTTGTATCCCTGTAATAGGTTGTATAGAATGTCAATGTAGAATAAATGGTTCTAATTGATGGCACAAGCTCTGGATGATAAGTTTGAACTTCTGAGGTTGTTTCGAAGATTTCATCATAGGGTTTATATGATTCAGTGGAGAAAGTGGCGGAACTCACAGGGACTGATACTGCTGGAGAAACAGTGTTGTAATTTTCGTAAATAAATGAAGGTGTTGTTGTTGATGTTATAGGTTCAGTAACGTAGCTTGTTACCACTTCTATAATGGATGACAAAATACTTTCATCATTGTTAAACAATGTCAAGTAGTGAGTCTGCGTACTGAGTACTTCTTTTGTAGTGTACAAGGGCAAACTTGGTGTACTGACGTAATCATAAAATTTGCTTTCGACAGATGGTGTTGATGATACTGTGAAGGAAGAAGCAGCATGTGCAGGTACTGTGAGGGTAACAACATTTGAAACTGTTTCTTCCAGGTTTGTAACAACAGTCTCGCTGCCTTGGAACAAAGTAACGAAGTTCGTAAATGTTGTATAAAGTGTTTGTGTTACAACTACTGATGGATCAGTAAGTAAAGAATCAGTAAACTTCGATGTCGTTGGTAATAGTGAAGATGTTGAAGAAGGATCTATGGTCCTAGTAATAGTATACGTCTCAGTTATTGTCTTAACGTTAGTTTCTACTTCTTGAATTGGTGTCACAAATGAGCTGGTGTCTGAAAATAATGTAGCGTAGAAAGTTATCGTGTTATATTCTGTTTTAGTTATGACAGATTCGCTGGTGTCAACGACAGTCTGAGGACCCACTATTTGAGGACTAACTGTGGATGGTCGCAGTTCTTTTGTTGTTAGAGGAACTGTAACCACATTTGTAACAACTTGCTCTGAACTGGTAACGATTGGTTCAGTTCCAGCTAAGAATGTTGAAAAGAAGGTGTATGTCGTGTAGAAAGTTTTCGTTTCATACACTGTAGTCGTTGGAGAAATAGCTATTTCAGGTGGTACATTCTTGTAAGTTGGAACATAAGGAACTAAAAAGCAGAAAAAACAAGCATTAAAAATTAAAATAATTTACTTAGTAATTAAATAGTTATGTTATCTTTTTAAAATTAACATTTAATACATATTTAAGGACAATATAAGTAAATGAAATGTCAATCAATTTACAGCAAAGACTGATGCTGAGAACGCTTAAGAATTTCGAGGAATTGAAGAATATAAACATAAAAAATAAGTTTCGAGATGAATATTTTTTAAATAGATTAAGGAATTTTTCGAAACAAATTAGACTCTTCGGTAATTTATAATAATAAAATTTAAAACGAAAACTTATCACTGAATCATTTGAATAATTCAACTTACTTACAAGTTCAAAAATAAATGTTTTTATGAAAGATATTATGGTATTTAATAAAGTATTAAAATAATTCTCAATTTAATTTGAGATTTAACTAAAGAAGTTATAAGGGATCATTAAAAAAAATTAAAAAGATCATTAAAAAGAGGAGGATTCTGCTTGAACTTATAATTTAAGATAGAATTCTATCATTTTCGTCTATTAAGATAAAGGCGAGAAATAATGTAGTTTTAATCATTCTGGATATAAAGTGTAAAACATTCATGATCAAGTTACTGTTAAAAATACCGATACCGTAAAAACCATTCTTCCTGGAATATGTTACGGAACAAAAAGCTTGATGTACCGTAATATTTACAGTGATGATTACCCTAAAATCACTCCAATTAAATAAATATTACTGTAATAAATACGGTATAAATATTTTACACTGAAGATGGATTTTATCGTAAAATGGATTTTATGAATAATGTGCAAAAATGTGCTAGTCTTTTACACTGTAATTTGATTTACAATTTTTTACAGTGTAGACCGTCACCGAATCGCCTAAATATCTGAATTGCTGAAATACTCTATTTTTATTAAATTACTCCTTTTAAGTTTTAACGTCGCAAAGTATGATTTCATACTAAATTACCTAAGTTTGAACAATCGCATTTGGGCGAGATTTTATATTGCAATCACACTTATGATAGTTCTTAAAACTGATAATAAAAGTACAATTATTATTAACAAGTATTCTTATTAACATTTTACTTTCAACGCACTACTTTTTAAATAGTTTTATTAAGTTTAATTCATTAAGTTAAATAGTTCAATTAATAGTATAATTATTACTTAATAAAAATGAAGCTTCATTTGCAAAAAAAAAACTTCCTTTCTCTCTCAGCTACTGTGTTTTTTCTAGTTTTGTTTCTCAACTTTATTTTCCCATTTTTTATGGGTAACTTTGCGTTTTTATTTCAAATCACTTTTGTTACTTCTCTTTTATGTCTGGTAAGTCTTGAAAATGAGAGCCGATTTTTGAGCGCTTGAAACTTGTTGACTGTTATTACCTATTTATATATTTTTTAAGCGAATGAAGTTTTTATCAGTTTTTATCTTACCGCTTTTTCTTGGGATTATTTATTTAGCATTTTAGATAATATAGGATAAAAAGTCTAAAGAAATACGCACCAGGTGCTAGAGTATGGGTGGTAGGCCCATCAAATCCAAACTCTACGCTTGTGATAGGAAGTATTGAGACTACGTCATCAACTGGCGGTGTTCTTGTTACAGTAGAATATGAAAGAGTATCTATTCCATCTGAAAAAATAAAATAAATCATTTTGGAGTGGGCTTCATCTTGTTAAAAGAATTTAAATCTTCTCATATTTTACTGAGTTCGTAAAATTTCCTCTCCCCTAGCCATAAAATGATATATTTTGTGACAAAAAGAGAAAGAAAGAAACATAAAAATAACTTTATGTTATTTTTATACAATCCAAATCTTCCTCGTTAGAGGGATTCAGATATCTCGTATACAATTGGCATATTTTTACGCGAGATTTATTAAGAAGTGTGCGACATTTTGATGCGAAAACTTTTAGAATGATAAGTTTCTCTTCTATTTAGAAATATGTGTAGTACTTTTTTCGACAAAGACCAGAAGAAAAAGCTAAAATTTTTAGTAATGATTATTATGATAAAAATGATAATAGGAAGAAAATAAGTTCTCAAAAGTGAACGGATGTTCCAAAAATAATCGAAGACTTAAAACAAAAATCAATAAATGATAAAAGGGAGAAGATATAAATGAACAGTTTACTGCATTCTGCCCTTGGTAAGTTTTATTCCCATCAAATTTCAAAAATAATTACAAATCGTGTCAACATATGGCGCTGCTAACTTAGAAACTCTAACAATGTAAATAATGCATAATCGCCATTTACAGCCATTTGATACAGTTTGAGGATAAAATTAAAAAAAACGAAAGCGCATACGATTTGGAATGGTCTAATATGTAGTAGAAAACAATATTTAAGTTCATTATAATAATTTGTCAGCAGCGGCATCTGCTTATGAAATTTATATCTAAATTTGGAATTTAATGAGAGGAAATAAACTCATTTTCTCAGTAGAACGTACATTTCGTTCTGCAACTGGTTTTCTTTTATTGAATTTTAAATCTTCAATTAACTTTCAAAATCAATATTTTATGCAGGGTAATAGATATACAGTATTATCTATAATTCGTGATAGTATTAACGATTGAAATAACTTCAATTTTTTGGTGCTTTAAAAAAATTAGAAATAAAATATTATTCCTTCCGTTCCGTTACCAATTCATAGTTTTTCAAATGACATCGATTTTATTTTACAGTTTACTTTACTACCGGTGTTGAACAGCAGATCCAATCCTAAGTTTGCGACTATAAATGCTTAACTCCATAGCCCTGCAACTTTGAACTTCACTCAGAAGACAAGGGAAATCCTGGTTCAAATATTGGGGTAAACTAGCATTGGTGGAGAACTTTTTGATTTATGAAAACTAGATTTACGTTACATGGAGAGGAAAATCTCGAAAATATTCCATGGTTAGCAAGGTGGTAAGGGGATTCTAACCCATGTTTCGTCTACCTCTGAAGATATTTATAACATTGTGGAAATCTCTGCACTAAACTCACATGCTGTGATTTAAGTAATCAATAAGATACAAGGAAAAATTAATTTAGATTAGGTAGAGCACCTACTATCTGAACTGTTTAAGAACTAAATAGTTCTTTTGATTAAAAACTCAGGATAATTTGACAACTTTATAAAAGTGGACAATTTTTTTAAGTATAACTTTCATGCAGATTCAAGGCTTGGGCAATAGTAGTAGGAGAATTTTTTACGATGGTGATGAAAAGTTAGCTCATTGGTGTCTAGTTAAACGGACTGTACTTATTATTTTATATATATTTTAAGACGATAACAATATGCAAGGTTCAATTGCTTATTAAGTAAAAGCTGTAGTGAAATAGAGATTCTTGTAAAAATGTTTCGTACCAAGGGTTGTAGTCACTATTCTTGAGTTGGTTTCTTCTAATGTTGTAAATACAGTCTCATCTCCATCTATATAAGGAATGGTAAACGTTGTTGTGGTAAAGTAAGTATAAACAACTGTAGATGGTACTAATGGTACATTTGATTCATAGGCTGTTGTCGGTACAAATGAAACAGTAATTGGAGATGAAGTGGTCAGTATGACGTTTCTATAACTGGTGTCCAAGCCAAATATGACAGGTACTGATGTCAGAGTTGTGTAAGTGTCATATATTACCGTAGTAGATGGCAGTATTCCTTCAAATTCGGTTGCGGAAGGTTTCACTTTTCGACTTATTTTGACAGTGAATGGTCGCTGTGTGTTTGAAACAACTCCGAGTGCTCCTGTCAATAAAAATATTTTTAAGTACATACGCGTTTTTTTTAATATTACAAATGCATAAATAGAAAAAAAACATGTGAAATAAATTGACACTGAGAATATGAATGCATAATTTCGAAACAAAATAGCATAATCTGGAATCTTTGCACAGATTTACTCAATTTTAACTGATTATTAAGTTTTATTGGGTGTTTTTTTCTATAAGAGAGCATCACTAATCAATAAATCAATACAAATAACCACTAAATCAATAGCCCACATTTAGTGGAATAGATTTAAAACTAATTCCATATAACTCAGAATCTAGGTGGGTGAAACTTATATCGAAAATTAAATTTCAAGTAACTAAATAAGCAATGAGAGTATTAGGTAAAGTTTTTTCTTTTAAAAAAGGGTGCAATTTGAAAACTTAAAGCTTTTGTTTGCGGACAAAACTAAATTATATTTTTTCTGCACCTAAATAAGAAGAAAATATTAACGGTTTCACTGTAAAAAATTCCTAATTAAATTACGATATAGAGTAACGGCACTTTTTTGTGCATCATTCGTTAAAATCCATTTTAGCGTAAAATATTATATGGTAATTTTTACAGTAATATTTATGTAATTAGATTGATTCAGTGATTTTACAGTAATTATTCCTGTAAAAATTATCATAGTTTTTACGATAAATTTATACAATTAGACTGATTCAGTGATTTTACAGGAATTATTCCTCTAAAAATTACGGTACATCAGAATTTTCGTTTCGTAACATGTTGTGATAAAATCAGAATTTTCGGTAAAAAGTACCAGCAGCCTGAAAGTCGGAACTTTTTACCGTAACTTGATCCTGGATTTCTTACAGTGTTGGAGACAGCAGTCAATACTATAAAGTATTTTCCTGCAGTAAAGAAAGGGTTAAAATATGTTATGTAGAATAAAAGAGATTTGGGAGGAGTCACAAAAAAACATGTTTTTAATAAAACATTATAAAAGAAGTATCGTACGAACTGAACTGTATATAGTTCTATTTTAGAAAATAAAAATTGTCTAAACCGAAAGTTTAATAAAGTAAAACTTGTTTAATACTATTCTTTCTCAGACTACAAATTTAGCAAATAAAGTTCAAAATCAACTCATTAATTAAATTTTTTAAAATCATTGGTTAAAATCAATCATGTTAATAAAAATTAGTAAAGTAATTACATACGATGCGTAAAATATATTAATTAATTATATAAAAATATTTGGATTCGGGATACCAAAAACTAGAAATTTAGAACCTTTACAACAGTTTAGAATAAAAGTTAACAGTCCTAATAATTTTTCACTTACCCGTACGAGTTACCACATAGAATCTTGGTCTGCTTGTTATTTCAAATCTTGAAGGCAGTACAAATCTAGTATGAGTTCTGCTGATACTTTCACTCTGACGTCTAACTGTAACTTTGAGTTTCTTTCTAGTGGGTACCACTGTTCCGTCCGAAGAAGTTACTTCTTCCATCTCCTCATAATCTTCTGTAGCAACTTCATTTCCAAGAGAATCAGATGGGAATACTGTTGTTACGTAAGTATCATCTAGCACAGGAGTTCGAATGGATCCTATGTCTAAACCAGGTGGAATGTATTGAGGAGATGATAAATACGATTCAGGATACTCAGTTGCTAATTCATTGACATCAAAGGAAAAGTCAAAGGACGACGCTAAATCACTAGGCACTAAGCGGCGTGATACAACAGGTTTGACTCTGACACGAACTCCTGGTCTTGGTACATATACACCACTTCTTAGGGGACCACCAGGTTTGTGAATTACAGATGTAACTTTTACAACTGATTTTGGCAAATCTCCAACATTTGGTGCATCGGTAAATTCACTTGGATGCAAGGGTTTTGTTTCAACCGGAACATTTATTTGTCTTGAATCGTATAACTCATTATCAATAGAGTACGATGGATCAATTGGTGCGTTTGAAAATGGGGTTTCTAAGCTTGGGGCTGCTGTATTAAAATTTTCTACTAGGATGGTTCTTGTAGGTGTAATATAATCTAGGGTCTGAGACCGTGTTCTAGCAATTGCAATGTTTTTTAAACCATCAAACTTTATCCATGTTCTGAGACCGAGATTAACTTCAGTGGTAGTACCTTCTACTTCTCTAGACCCAAGGTGAACTGTTCTACTTCCCGGTAGTATAGATAAAACTCCATTACTATTAATAGTAGAATCAATATTTTCTGTTAAGAACTGGCTAGGATCTGCAACTAATTTAGTCATAGTTTCTGCCCTAGTTGATTGCCGCGTATTTGTTCCGTCATAGAATGTGTATGAATAAGTAAATAACGTTAAATATGTTTTAGGAAGTGAAGCTAAATCACTAATATAAGTGCTCTGTAAATTGTTACTACCTTCTACGATTGCTGACGCAGTAATAAAAGGTTGATAAATTGAAGAACTAGGACTCTCGCGTACTGGTAAATCAGTCACTAATTGGAATATATCACTATTGTACACATTTTGTTTTGATGCCAAATTCACTATTGTAGTCGTATCACCTAGCGTCCTAGAAGCCAAGTGCAAAAGTCCGTCACCTCCTGTCGTCGAAAGAACGCCATTTTTAGATTTGATTGCATTTATAAGGCTGGGATTTAAGGTTTGATCTATAATATTTGAAAAAACAGCTTCTCTACTAACGTAATTTTTATTTGGTCCATGAAGGAAGGTAGTGAAATAAGTCAATGTGGTGTAATAAGTTAATGGTAAGGGTTTTGTTGCATATAATGAAAGAGCGTTGTCTAAAGATTCTTTTGAATCATTTAAATCTTCAGCTATTCCATTAAAGTCATCTAAATTGCGATCTTTGCCAGACATTATGTGATTACTATCGGAATTAATTCTTTTGTTTTCGACTTCATCGGATGGCGAAATTGGCCCTCTTCCTTGTAAAGTGTTAGGAACAGCAACACTAGCTTCTGAAGGTTTTCTGCTAATTACAACACGTCTTCTTTGTCCAGAAGTCGTAGGTTCATTGTTTTCAGGTTTTCTCAGTCGAACAATTTTTTTCAACGGTGGCTTCGAGAACTCATTTGATTCTTCATCGTCTTCATCCGTACTGTAAGGATTTGACGAGCTGATTTGAGTAGTAACATCACTTGATTCTACTGGAGTTACTGAAATTGAAGAATCTAAGTGAGTAGGAGGAATTGACGAACTTATCTGCTCACTAAGTTTTGTTCGTCGAATGACAACAGGCCGTCTTGGCCCACTACCATCTCCAGGTACAAATGATGGTCTTAACCTTCTAATAATTGTTCTTTTGCTTCCATTCTCGTCCGCTTCGACACTTGTTTCATCTGACGTAGAGGAATCCTCATTATTATTCTCTGCGTCCTCTGATGCAGTTTCTGGTTCTCTTGATGAAATTTTATTGCGAGCTTCTTCCCCACTATAACTAAGAGTTGGAGTAATTGATACTTCTTCATTTACAACAGATGGTACAGAAGTTGTCGTTCTTAATCTTGTAATTCGTCTAACGCCACTGCTGGGAACAATTAAGCTATTAGCTGGTCTTGTGATTCTTAGTCTTCGTGGTCTGTACCCCGAATCCGGTTGTGAAGCATCATCCTCAACAGCTGGTCCCGGTCCTCTTCTCAATTCACGTGGGTCTGAGATAGGACGGAAGCCATCAAAACTTTCTTCATCAGGAGATGAACCCTCGAATCTATTTAATGCATTAGTATTTGAATTTATCGGAGACTCATTGGCATAACGAATTCTTACTAGTTCTTCCACTGGTGGAGATGGTCTAGTTGGTTGTACTGGTGAATATGTATTTCTGATATTTATTAGTTCGTTGTCTGAGTTCGATGGCACTGGTCTTGCCAAGAAAGGTCTAAAATTGTTGTCAGGTTGACGCAAAGGCCCCCTGGCGTATGTTTCTCGAAAATTCGTCCTGGGATTACTATTTAAAAATTCGTCATTAGTAGTTTCAGTTGGCGGTCTTCTACTTGGAGGTAATTGTTGACCTCGATTTCTAACTGGAATACTCTGTGTATATGGCTGGGTTATTGTATCAGGATTTGCAGCTGTAGCAAGAATTACTCCAGCAGGTGGTCTTCGCAACCTTGTAAAGTCTCGCTGAGGCCTAAAACTCGTAGGAGTTTCATAATAATCTAATGGTTCATTTTCCACAAACTGCTGCAATTTTCGAAAACTGTAACTAGATTCTAAACCATACATGTCTTTACTCTTTTGATATCCTTCTGTGATTCCTCTTTCTTCATCAGGGTTCAAGTTAATTGTAACTTTTTGCTCATAAATTTCAGTTAAAGGACCCTTTGAAATAGTTGTCACGTCATATGAAGTGACCGCATTCGGTATCTTAGAAAATCTAGTGCTATCTAAAGGATCAGTCTGCATGTTAGCATTGTTTACTTCTGATAAATCATTTATTTCTTCAAGCCCTGAACTTAGCAACTGATCATAATGAGTATCAATCTCTTCATCCTTTGAGTTGCTTCGACTGATTGAGGACATTAAATTTATGTCTGCAATATCTGCTGTATTTAATGTTTGATCAGAGGGGACATTTTGTAAACTTCGAGCAACCTTTGTATGGAAAACTGGTTGTTGATACAAAGGAACAGTTACAGTTGTAACTACTGGTTTTAATTCTCCGTATTCTCCAGTAACATAAAGCGTTATTAATGTTGTCAATGGTTGAAATGCAAAGTATGGCTGAGGAATGAAATTAGGAGCTGACGGTGGAAGATGTACGGTTTGCACAACAGTTGATTCAGCTGTAGAAGTTGTAGTTAATGTACTAAGAATAGTTCTTCCTCTTAGTATTATTGGTACAACTGTTGTTGAAGTAACGATTTGAGTAGTTATGAAAGAATTCGCTGATGCTACTAGTCCATAATCTGGATTTGGAGGACCGATTTGTGGATAAAAGTTTGGTTGAAATTGTTGAGGAAATGCTGTAGGCAATGGTGCTTCTGGTGTTATAGTGCTATATAATGTCGAGAGTGTAGTGAGTACCTGTATATCAGTTATTGTGTCGGTTCTAGTACTGTAACCAATTTTTATAGGAACTAACTTGACGGACTCTAATGAAGTAGTGGTAACAATTACTTCAGTAATTGTTGTGTGGAGATTTTCTACGCCATCAGGATATCCAGTTCTTGAATAAAATAAAGTTTTTGTAAAGCCATCGCTTATTACTTCAGAATATTGAGTAGGATTAATAACGCTTGTATCTAAAGCTGTTGTCGTTAATGTTGCGTAAGAAGTTCTAAATCCATGATAAATGGGCAAAGTTTTAACTGTTGTGACAACTGAAGTTACAGTAAGGAATGGTTTTCGTAAAGTTTCAGTCTCACTCGCTGTTTTAGATGGTCGTCGAGTTCTTGGGTTATAAGATGGTCTTCGATTACGATTATTGTTTCTTAGACGATTCAAAGGCTGGAGCGATTGAGAATCTTCCTCTTCATCTCTATTGACAGAATTAAATGATGCCTTTAATGAGGGAGAATTGTTTCGGTTATGTCGACCACGAGATGGTTTTCTTTGATTTATTCTGTTCCTAGAATTTCTGTAGTTCGGTGTAGTTGCATCAAAATCATCGTTTTCAGTTTCTTCATCTTCACGATGGCGGAAGGAACCTCTTTTATTCGACGCGCTCCTTCTTTCTCCGTATCGATTAGTTCTTGAAGAAGGTCTCCGGCTTGATCGGAAATTTCGATTTCTATTGGCTTCTTTTTTCTCATTTATATCTTCGTAATCATCAAAATCATCATCTTCAGTTGTGTTTTCCTCATAATCTGGATCAATTTCTTTTAATGACGGCGTAGGAGATGGGCTTGTTGTCGATGATCTCCCGAACGGTCGCCGGTTCCTAGAAAGGGCAACTGGACGTGATGTAGTAGATGGCGCTGAATTCCTACCAGATGATTGCTGTCTGTTGGATCCGAATGGTTTTCTCCTATTAAAAGAGAGCACTTGTGGAGTTGCAGTTGTTACAACAGCTTCACTTGCTTCGATGTCCCCTTCTTCTTCATCTTCGTTTAAGTCATCATCAAAATCATTCTCGCTGTCAGATCTTTGCCCAAATGCTCTAGAATTTCGTGTTCTACTAGGCCGTCTAAACTGGATGGTGTATGCTGGTCTTGTGGAAGGTCTCGATGTTGTTGTAAATGTAGGACGTCCTCGACCAGCAAACGGTCTGATCCTAACAGAGGAAGAAGGTGTTTCTTTTGAAGTGTCTGTGCTTCTTGACGATTTACTAGATGCTTCGTCATTATCGTCGAATTCATAATCGTCATAATCATTGTAATCTTTATAGCCATACGAGGAAGTTTTGCTTTTAGACTGTCTGGTATTTTTAAATCTTGTAGAAGATAGACTTGGAGTTACTTTTTTGTTTGCTTTTCTGTCTCCAAAATTATCATAATCATCCTCAAATCCATAGTCATCATACTCTTCACTTAAATCAGTGTTTCTAGAAGAAGATATTGGTGGGGTTTTGCTTTTTTCTTCTGTTACGGAATTTGGCTTTTGAGTAACAGAGTCTTTATACGCTTTATTTTCTACGTATTCATTGTACTCTTCGTATTCATCAGGTGCAAGCGTTGACGATTTTTCTGGATGTTTTGTTTGAAGAGTAGATTCTTTCCAATTAGTCTCTGTTATTGGTGATGTTTTAATTGTTTTACTTTTTGTAGGAATTTCTCCGGGTGTTAAAACTTCACGAGATTCAACTAAAGTAGATGGTATAGTGAGCATAGAAAGAGTAGTGTTTATTTGATTTGAAATTAGATCTGATGTTGACTCGAGCTTTATAGAACTAACTAAATCTAATTCTGGTAAACTGATGGACGATTTTATTCCTAAATCACCGTCCTCTGTTAGTGATACGTATTGATGTCCATTATCCAATTCATTCACTATTCCCGTGTTCAAATCATCCTTGGCTGATCCTAAATTCAAAAATTTTGAATCAGTGTATGACACAAAATTGGTATGTTCTAACACTAGTGGCGATACTGTTTCTGCAAATATGACAGGAAGAACGGTTGAAGTTCTCTTTATTGACTGAATATAACTACCATCTGTTTCCTTTCCAATCACTGTAATTTCATGCAGAGTAGTAATACCGTAATTTAATTCTGTAGATGTTGTGGCAGATATCACCCCTGTAACTTCAGTTGGTAGAATCGGAGTTGGTGTGTTGGTCACTATATTTGAAGTGCTGCGGGCGACATGAGCATAAAATCCATTAATCCGAGTTCCATAAATTTCTGTTGTGTGTAAAGTTAATGTCCCGTAATTTATTTCACTACTTGTAATGGCAGAAACTAACCCTGTTTTCAACGCAGATGTAGAAGTAGGTGATAAAATATTAGAAGTACTACGAGCTACATGAGCATAAAAGCCGTTAATATAAGTACCATAAACCTCTCTAGTATGTAAGGTGGTAGTACCTTGATTTTCTTCTGTACGAATATCTGATGATATCAAACCTTCATTGTTGATGTTTGTTGAAAATGGAACGGCTAAGTCAGTTGTTTTAGTTGCAGATGGTGTAAATGGGAGTACTGTAGATGTTCTCCTTGCTACGTGTGCATAATAGTTGCCCACAAATGTTCCATGTACCTCAGAAATATGCAAAGTTGTTGTTCCCTCATTCACTTCAGTTTTTACGCTAGATGAAATGAGTCCCGTCTTTTGAAGATTTTCTGACGTTGCTGTTGAATGAATTTTGTTTTCAGTTGGTTTTATTACCTTTGAAGTGGATTTAGCTATATGTGCATAGTCATTTCCAATATATGTGCCATAAATTTCATTTATATGCATTGTTGTTGTGCCCAAATTTACCTCACTTCTGACGACACTTGAAGAAATTAGCCCAGTTTTTTGGCTCATTTCTACCGAATAACTCTGTAAAGCCGGTGTCGAAGGTATAATTTTATACTCGGTTGAAGTACGAGCAAGTTGTGCATAATGTTGTCCGATATAGGTACCTAGAATTTCAGTTTTGTATATAGTTGCTGTATTTTGATTAACAACACTGCTAACTATAGTTGATAAGAGTCCAATGGATCTTGTAGCACTTTCAGTTGTTGTGGGAGCTATAATTTTTGATGTTGTCTTAGCGTGTTTTGCGAAATGTTCCCCAATATAAGTTCCGAAAATATTAGTTATATATTGAGTAGTTGTACCATCATTCTCATCTATAGAAACAATCGAGGATAGTAAGCCAGTTTTGTAACCTTTGAATTCATCGACAGACCTACCTGTCGGATAATCTGTCTTAGAATTAGGCAATGATGTCGTGAAAACCTGATTTTGGAATTGCGGTGGCATTGGTGTAGCTTGTGTATTTTCTCCACCAACAAATGTATTTGACATTGTTGATGCTATATGTGCATAGTAATTATTTACAAATGTGCCATAAATCTGAGTTGTCCACAAAGTTGTTGTGCCATAGTTTTCTTCTGTTCGTAAAATGGATGATATCAAGCCTGTTGGATGCGCAATTTGTGAGGATGGTGTTGGCTTGATAATACTAGATGTAGTTTGTGCTAAATGGGCATAAACCTCTCCTATGTATGTTCCATAAGTATTAGTTGTATATACAGTAGTTATTCCGTCTTTGATTGCCGTACTTATTCTTGAAGAGACCAATCCAACTTTTTTCGCCTCTGATGTGCTCAACTTATTAGGTGATACTGTGGCCGATGAAATTAAAGGCGTTTTTTCAATTTCATTTGGTGCTTCAGAGTAAACGCTAACTTTGCTATGAACCACCTGAGCATAAACGCCATTTACAAATGTGCCATGTATTTCTGTACCATAGACTGTTACAACACCATTGTTGATCACTTTTGAATCCATTGATCTTAACAAGCCTATTTTAAAACCTTCGGTTTCATCATTCTTTTTATCCAACGTCAAAGAGTTTCCTCCAGAAATTAAATCGTTATTTCTAGAAATTTCGTCGTTAGTTATGTCATCATTAGTTGATAGCAATTTTCTGAACCTTGGTTTAGGTTCAGAAGCCTCATTAGCGTCGAAAAATGATCTTTTACGCCTATTAATTGACGAATTGTCAGGGTCACTGTCAGTAGAGGGTTCTTGAGTTGTTCTTAAAGGCCTAAGACGTTGCAGAGGATTTGGTCGAGGACTAGGTCTACGAAATAATACTCGGCTGGTATTACGTCGGACAACTGCGATCGGACTTCTTGTTGTTGTTGTTCTCGCTGTTACTCTTCCTCTTTGTGTAGTTCTGGCTGTTGTAGTTGTTGTTGTCAGAGACGTTGAAGAGCGAAACGATGGTCTTGGTTTGTAAGTGGGTCTATTTCGTCGTCGAGCAAAAATGCTTTTTTTTGGTGATTCTGTTGTACTAATGATGGTTGTCGAGGTTTCATCACTGGATGAGAGTGTAGCATTTTCAATAATCTTTGAGCTATTTCTAGCTTCTTCTGTACTACTATGAGTATTATCTAGTGTGTCTTCTGTTGAGGTTGAACTTTCTTCTCCAGATGAAAGAGAACTTGTTTCAACAGTCACTGAATCCGCAGGAAATTCTGTGCTGATTTTTTCGGTAGTTACAGTTTGTCGATTTTTATCTAAGATTTCATTGCCAATATTATTTCTTTCTGATGAGTTATTTATAGATAAGTTATTTATTTCTTCAGAGTTAACAGCCTCTATTTCCTTGATTTCTAATTTTAAACTCTCATTATCGATTTTGTTTGGGATTGAACCGGGATTGAACAAGGCTGTTGGGGAAGGTGCACTTGTTTTTAAGACACTGGAGTGAATTGTTGTCGGTGTAATACGATCCCCAATTGAATTGAAACTTGTTGTTTCACGTTCGTCACTGTTTGGTGGTGCTTTAATAACATTCGTTATTGTTTCATACCTCGTGTTTATTATTGGACGGTCTCCATGAAATCTTGTTGTATAGTATGTGTAGGTAGTATAAAATGTATATGGGTATTGAGTTGTATGTGCGCAACAAGGCAAGGTTGACGTTTCAGAAACTTCAGATTCTAATTTTGGTTCAACAGTTGCAGAAGCTACAACTTCTCTTGTTACATATTTAGTTTCTCCCTCAGGGTTTATTGATGTTGCAATGTAAGTGTGTGTCGTGAAATAAGTTACAACTGGAGTTGGGTGGACTCTACTTTCATGAAAACCTCCCTCAGCTGCATCCAAATCCGAAGTTGCTTTGTTTGGTATTTCTACATTAGATGACGATGCGCTAATTGCCGCAACATTTGTTGATGTCTCATAACGGGTGTTAATGGTCGGTGATCCATTTGTAATTAATGTAGTATAATAAGTAAATGTTGTGTAAACCGTGTGCAATTCAAGAGGTAATGTATTGGAGGATGGAACGGTGGTTATTGGTTCGACAATGTCGAGCGGCAGTGGATCGGTGTTTTCTGAAACAGTATGATACGTAGATTCTTTCACAGAATTACTTTCAGATGGTAAATTTGTAGATATTGTATTGGAAACAGAAATTGGAGACTCAGTAGAGCTCGGGAAGATTTGAGAATTCTCCTTATTCAGTGCGATAGTTTCTGTTGCATAATTTGTTGAAGTTTCGAATCTCGTTGAAACAGATGGTTGTCCTCGATAAAGATAAGTTGTTAAGTACGTGTACGTCGTATAGAAAGTCTTTGTTAAAACAGATGTCGGTTGAATATCAGGCGAATCGTGTGATCTAAAGGCAGTAACAGCATGTGCAATCGTGATTGGTTCTTTGGTTCCACCCAGAGTTACAACTCTGCTTGTAATTTGCTTTCTTTCAGATACAACAGGTGTTGGAGAGTCTTCCAGGGTCGTAGTAAAAGTATGAGTTTTGTAATAAGTTGTGAGTTCAGGTGTTGAATGAGAAGGAGAATAGGAAGAACTTGATAAAGCAACTACATCCGTTAAAGTTCTGAATACTGTGTTTACTGAAGGGGTTCCACCATTATATAATGTATAATATGATGTAAGAGTAGTATAATACGTAGTGAAACTTCTGGTTGGAGTTATTATACTAGTTTTACTCACTAAAGGACTCTCAGTTACAAAATTAGTTAGAGTGTCCTCTCTTGTGGAAATTACTGAACTGCCATCACGAAGATATGTTGTATAATACGTATATGTTGTATAATGTGTTTTAACTATCGGTGTAGCTTTTATATCTGCTGAGGAAATAGTTGTTGGAGCAACCGTAGCTGATATAGAAGTCCTGATATTTCCATCCAAAACATTTGAAATAGTGTCTTTTCTGGTGACTACCGATGTTGTTCCACTTTTAAGAAGAGTTGTATAATATGTGTAAGTTGTATAAAATGTAGTTTTTTGAATATCTGGAGAAACGGTTACGCTGCTTGTATCATTATCGATTTGTTTAGTTGCTTCTAAACTGGTGATACTAGAAACTACTTCTTCTCGACTAGAAACAACTTGCGTGCCGTCATGCAAGAATGTTGTATAATATGTAAACGTTGTGAAATACGTTGTAGGCCTTAAATCGTCAGAAGTGCTAACTACATCTGTTCGCTCTTCTAGTTTGACAGGAGTACTCTGAATGGAATCATCACTTCCCCGTAAAACGCTTGAAACTGTCTTAAATGTAGTACTTACTGATGTAGTACCATCTTTATGAAATGTAGTGTAGTAAGTATATGTTGTAAAGTAAGTTGTTGGAAGCGCTCCAGTTTCAGTGACAGATATTGGAAGTTCAGTTTCATGAACTGAGTGAGTCTTCAAATCATTATCTATGGATGGGGTGACAACATTAGATACTATTGCTTCACTAGTAATAATTTTTGTAGAACTGTCTTGTATAAGTGTTGTAAAATAAGTCAAAGTTGTGTAGTATGTCGTTGGATATGTCAAAATGGAATAAGAAGATTTGATTTCGGGATTTGTTGATACGTCATTAAAATCATCACTACTTGTCTCTTCTCTTGAAGACACTACTTTTGATCCATCTTTATAAAATGTTGTATAATATGTGAAGGTAGTTAAATCATCGTTTGGATTTAAAGTACTAGTGGGTGAAATAGTGTGAGATTTATCGACGACTTCAACAGTAGTACTAAGTCTAGCTGATTTAAGCTCCTCACTATCAGTATAGACATTTGAAACAGTTTCTTTCCTGCTGGATACTATTGTACTACCACCGGAATGGTAAGTTGTAAAATATGTTGAAGTTGTGAAATATGTGATTGGGAATGATACTGATGGTAGAATTTCTTCCATAGAGACGCTCAAAGCTTTCCCCGAACGCTCAGAACTAATTCCTTCTTTTAATACCACTTTATCAACATCGTCATTTAATGAAATAGAAGTAGGTTTTATTTCATTGTCAAGTATAATGATTTTATTTTCTTCCCCAGCACTTCGAGCTTCATTTTCAAAATTGTTTTCGTCTTTAGATTCTTCTGCTATTAACAACGCTGAAGATGGTAAAGCTTGTACTGTAGACAGAGATGGAGAATCGGATGATGGAGGCTCAGCTGCAGGTAGAATAAAACCATCTGTGATTATGCTTGGAGTTTCAGAGATGGATTTCATATCCGACATTTTAAGATTATCTGGTGAACTGTCTGAAATTGCATCTGTCATTTCTTCTTTGTGATTAGAAACTTCTTCACTTGACATTCCAGGCAGAAAAAAATTTCCTGTCAACAAAACAACTGACGGAGAAACCGGTTCACTTTTCTCTGCTACACTATTTTCCAGACTACTAGTGGAATCAGAGATATCTTTTGAGACTTGGCTTGATGATTTATCTACTGAGCTATATGAATCACGAGGAGAACTTGTAATTCCAAGAATTTGTTTATCTAAATCATCGATCCTCAAATTTCTGGCTCTGTTTTCCTCTGTTGAAACAGTATCCTCAGTTTTCATTTCCTCATCATTGTTGTTTATTTTAGATGGAGCTATTTCGACAGCCATTGGTAGAAAAAAACTGTCTGTAAGAATATGTCCAACATCAGAATCAGAAGTTATAGTTTCTGACAATGCTGAAGATAAACTTTCTTCATACACTACTTCAGGTGTAACATAAGGAGAATTTGTTGATGTTACTAGTGATGGAATGAAAGAAGAATCTGGGACAGAGCCAATGACTGAAGCACTTTCCGTACTTTGTTTGTTGCCAGGTAATATAAAACCTGAAGTTAAAATTTCTAAACTAGGTGTAGCGGAAGAAGAGAAACCTGAAGTGTCCTTAGATGGTGTTTCTCCTTTAGATGATATGTCTGTTAATGAGGAAAATATTTTGACTTCTTTTTCAGAGGAATCGGTATTTGAATCCTCGTTTAAGTCCTCACTTCTTTCATTGTTATAGCTTATTACAGTTTCCATTGCCAACGTTTCTTCAGGACTCGCAGTTTTTGATACAGTAAAGAAAATGCTTGAAGTGCTTTCAATAATGTGTGCATATGTGTCATCAATATATGTACCATAAATCAAAGTTTTCCAATGAGTTGTTGTTCCATCAACTACTTCAGTTCCGGTGATAGAGCTAACTAAACCAGTTGGATGTAGTGATGCATCAGTTTCTTCAAGTGGTGCAGAATTATCAACTACTTCGCTTACATCTAGTTCAAGAGAATTTTCTGACATTAATGTATTCTTACTTAGAGGTTGAAGATTTATTAAAATATCTTTTTCACTTGCAATTCTCCCATTTGCATCAGTATAAACAGTCTCCAAATTTAAAGGCCATGTTTCGGCAACAACGGTGGCAGGCGTTTCGTCAATTTTTCTGGCTTTAAGTTGATCATCCGAATATTGTTTTGTCATGACTGTCGATGTTAACATGGTTTTTTTAATCTCTATGGGTTCATTCACCGTCGAAGTAAACATGGATTTTTGTGATATGAATTCTCTAGTGTCCGTTCCAAATAGCGGCTCACGGAAAAAAGCATCTGGATGATTATCTGAGACGTCCGAACTCTGAGAGCGTGAATGTGCTGATAAACCATTTGTAAAACTTGTCCTAGTTACACGAGGTGTAAACGTGCGTGGTCGGGTTGAAGCTGGTAAAAATACGTAATGTGTTCCAGATATTCGAGTACTGAATTCAGCAAATCCATATAATGTTGTTGTGAAGTCTTCGCCCGTTTCGTCTGCCGAAGATTTCAGTTCAATTGCTTCAGATTCATCATTCGTTGTTGTTGAACTTACACCGTTCTTTAAATCATCAACTTCGTAAATAGGCCCATAAAGGCCAACAGTCCTCGTGAGTCTTTTGTCTTTTACCACACTTGGTCTGACAAATTTTCTCAACTGATCATTAAGATTGTTATTTACATTGTAGTAGGCATTATTCAGGTCTTTATTGTAGGCATTTGATACATCACCAACCACAGATGTTTCTACTCTATGACCAGGAAAGAAAAATTGGTCCGTTATTATGGTGGCTCCTCCTTGTCCAACCCTTCTCCCAGATGGAGTTGGATTGAGCATTCTTCCCTGCCTTGAATATCCCTGATGCCCTCTCAGCGTGTGTCCAGTCTGAGGTTGTCGAACATTTCCAATAACTCCAACCGTATTCTCTCCAACCATTGCCAATACTGGTTTTGTGACTTCACCGTTCGTTGATGGCTGTACATAACGAGTGATAGCAAGTGGTTTCATTTCAGGTATGAGTGTTGGTATTGATGCATACAATTTACTCGAGTACTCAGAAGTTATATATTGCGGTTCTGGCATTGCTTCAATCGCAATATTATCTTCTTCAAAATCTTCATCGATATCGAAATCATTTCTTCGTAAAAAAGGTTCAAATAAATTACTGTCCTCTGTCGAATATTCGATAGAATTCATCATGTTAAATGATTTTGTCGGAAGTATAACCCGGACATCGGATGTTAGTGGTTGGTTTCCGAAGAAGAATTTATAGGTGGTTGGATCCTCTAAGCCACTCACGTAAGATCCCGTATACATGGGATAAGTTACCTCGGATGTTCTATCTTTATGAACAAAGACTCCTTCCGTTCCTGTAACAACAATTATTGAAGTTTGAGTTTTGTCAGGGAATATAGTTCCGATTGTTCTAGCTGAGATATCCAATCCAAAATGCTTCGTCTTCATGTCTCCAGTTGGAGGTATGAATGTTCCAGAAACTTCAATGGGAGCATCTGTTTCAACCATAGAAGAACTTAAACTTGAAATGGGTTCATTCACAGCAGTAAGATATACCTGTAATTAAGTTATTTTGAGTTTAATAAGAAGAGTATGTGGGCTAAGGAGAAAAAAAGTAAAATATAAAACGGAGTAAAAATAGCTTTTAAAAAATTTACCGTTCCAGAATGTAGGGATCCAAAACGATGAATATGTGCAGTTGCTTCCATTCCTGATACGTTCTCCCCTGTAGCAGTTGGACTTATGGCCGATGTTGACTGTAGCAATTCGGTATAAGTTCCGTCAATGTAAGTTCGATACAGTTGCGTCGTATGATACGTTGTTTGATCCCCATTTACTTCAGTTCCTATGAAAGCAGATATGATGCCTGAAGGATAAACAATCGGATCATTTCTTAGTCCTGAAATAAAAGTAGAAATTAAATAACTTGAATAAATTTTTGTTAGTTTGCTAGCAGTAAATTTTTATCAATAGTCAAAGGAAATAATAAATTTCTCATTCTAAATTAGTTTCTGAAATTTACATTACAAGTACTGGGTGTTATACAATCATTGCTTTTAATTTAATATATATTTTAGAATTCTTTTTAAAATTGAGGTAAAAAAGTATAAACAAAGGTCATTATCAGACAGAATTTCATCTAAGTATGTCAGCCTTTATTTTCGTAAATTTTTGAAATTTTTTTTCCCTGAACTGCACTGGTTGAAGTATAAAAAAAAATTTCAATAATTAAAACAAAAAAAAAAATGAATAAAAATCTTAGTGTTAAGACTTAATTCAAGCTCTCCATCGTATTTTTAAAACATCTTAATTTGTTTTATTTTATACGTTTAATATTGGTATTTTAAAGCTAAGCCATCAGGGAGGAGGAAAAATTCTAATAATTCTTAAAAAAATTAAATCTATCCCTAAAGTGTTCGTAGGTACATGTCATTACCATGACGTGTGTACCTTATAATTGCTATTATAACTATATAATTGCTATTATTAAGTCGGTGCTATTATAATTATCACAATGGTAAAAATACGACAACCCATCCTTTAACTACGACTAATTTAGTTTAAGTAAAAGCAATTATGTTTTGCAATTATTGTTAAGAAACTTTTGTCAGAGTATTTATAATTTTTTCATTGCCAAGTTCACGAATAAGAAAGTAAATAATTAATTAATTTAAAACTGTTCAATATCTCATGAGACATCTGAGACTATATTTGGAGTCCTAAATAGGCCTAAAATTAAAAAGTTCTTTACCATTTCCGTCATTAACAAAGTGTTTTGAAAACATGCTATTGATGGCTAAGTATTTAAATCAGTTTCTGCCATTTTAATTTGCATAAACTAACGTCCTCTATAGTCCCCTAAATGCGAAACGTCTTCAAGAGTCGCAAAATTATCGCATTGAAAAAAGTCAAAATAAATAAATAAGACAAATAAAAAGTTTCATAGCTATAATTAAGACAAAAATTACTGTTGGTACCTTTTTTCTGATAGCAGAAATAAATAATTTCAGAATAATATATTTTATAATCGTCGTTGAACAGTCGATTCAATTTTTGGGTTCACCACTACTAATGTTCAACTCCGTAGCCTTGAAATTTTGAACCCAGTCCAGAAGACAAGGGAACTCCTGTATCAAGTATAGGGAGAAATTTGCCTTCATGGAGGACTTTTTTGATGGAACTAACCCGCTTTTGTGTTACATAGAGGAAGACCACGAGAACCTCCCACGGTTAGCCTGACGGTAAAGGGACTTTAACCCATGATCCGTCTACTACTGAGGATATTTCTCGTCAGCACTGTGGTCTGTGAAAGTCGGATGCGGAATTCGTATCTATCAGCAATCACTGGGATTCGAACCCGGTATATCTCAATGGAAGACGAACGCTCTATGCCTGAGCTATAGCGGTTCCCAAATAATATATTATATAGAACAATAAATTACTTATTTTAAGCTGCTTTATTAATATCCACCATAACCATAATGTATAACCATAAAGTAAATTTTAATTACTTTATGGTTAACCCAGTAAACAAATAGTTTTTTTTCTTCTCATTTCCACTTTAAATTAGTGATTTGTTAGATTTCCATTGCAAAATATTTTCAATGCGCTCTAATATATTAAAATTTAAGATTTCTACTATGCATATATTTTTACTACAGACATTGTTCCAGGAAATATATATTAAGGGTAACAATTACAAAACATCTGGAATGTAGACCTAATACGCCTTTAAGTTAATAAAAATGGAAGTATACGAAAGGTTAAACTTACCAATACCTCTCCTTCTTCTTTTCTTAACTTCGATCGAAAACGGATCGTCGTCACCGTAGGTTTCTGGGCACAAAAAATTGAACCCATTCTCACCTAAAGAGAGAAATATATTTTACTTGACAATACATTCACGAGTTCACTAGTGAATATTACGTAAAAAAATAAGTTTTAAATTATTTGCTATTTAATTAATTATAAGATCATATAAGGCTGTTAGAGACATATTATACAGAACATACCGAATAAAAAAGAACGATTTAAAAACAATTAAAAAAAGAGGCTTGTTTCTTTTTTTTTTTTTTTTAGAAAAAAAAAGGAAATTTACTGTCACCAATTTGCAAAATTAGTAAGAAAGATCACCAACAGATAGCGCTGCTAGTTGAGACAAGCTGTAAGACAATGTTTTTAAAATAACCTCCATTTTCAACAACTTGAATCAATCTGAGAACAAAATAACTAGATACGTGTTAAAAATTACTTGAAATGGAATCGTCTGAGATTCAACAGAAAACATTATTTTATATTTTCTCAGTCGAATATATTTTCAACTCAATGAGTGAACAAAGTTTGCAAATTTTGAAATTTTATTAGAAGAAGAATTTCTTGATTTTTAAACACAGCACCCTAAACTATATTTTCTTCTGTTTTTCTAACGTTTTTTTTTCAAATCAAGAATCATTTAAAAACATCCAGATTTCAAAAAAATTTAAAATAAAAATGCTAGTTTCCTCAACATACATCTGCAAATTCCCTTCTATTTGTGATTCTTATATTATAGGTTTTAACCATTACCATCTAAATATATATTTTTTCAAATATTAAGATTTTCAAATTTAAAATGCACAGATAGTTCAAAAACCATAAACAAAAAACTATCTATTTCAAGTTTATGGGAGAAATTTGGTTTCCCAATAATTTAATATTATTTTAAATTCTTAATGCATGTTTCTATATCACTGGAAAAGGCTTTGAAACATAACGATTAAAAACAACACGTAAAAAACAAATATATAACATAAAAAACGAGAGTAGGCAAGAAAATATAATAAATTGAAATCCTAGGTTAACATTTTTAGTGAATTATCATGTTGTAATTATGCGTATTTTTAAATAAAAGATTATAATCCAACTATATTAATAACATTTAAACTGAGTTTTCAGTAAAACGAATGAAAATTAAAACAGTTATGGAGTACTCTACTATTAAATTTCCATTAAAGTAAGTCTTATATTATAGATTAAAGCATGTTTAATTTATTTTATTAACTCTATTAAAGTTTGTTCAAACATGCAAAGCAATAAATATTTGGTTTCATTTATTAAAAGTTATGTTTTTAAAAATATTGAATTATACAATGATTAAAAGAGCAGGTATTTCTTAAGAGTAAGATCTCCTCCTTTAATATTTTTAGATTGTTTGTAATTTTTTAAAATAAGTATAGTAAGAAATTGAAATAATAGCAGCGAAAAGTATTGCACAATGGGTTCAATCTATGTTTGTTAATGAAAGCATTGGATTATTTCTGATGCAAACGATATTCATATTTAATATACAAAATGTGATTATTCATTAAGTATTTCATTAACTAATTCACTAATTCATTTATTAATATCATGTAACTTCTATTTAGTATTTATTGCTGTATTTCAGTATTTGTACCCATCATAATTTATTACAGTTATAAATTATGGTTATAAATTAGAAGGTTAGTATTCAGATATTCTATAGCATTAGTTGATATTAATTTAGCTGTACAGAATTAGATTAGCTACCGACAAGTGAAAGCGCTGTCATATATTTTCGCTGAGAGTAATTTTAATTTGGATCTGCCTACCGTGGCAGTAAAAATAAAATTTATTTGATTATTATTTTAATTTGTATCAGAGTATTAGATTTATATCTTTACGTTTCAATTTTGTTATTATGGCAATTGATATTAAATTTGACTAATTTTTGTTTATAAATGTTAATTTGATACATGTTATAATCAAACTTTAATCGCAACCAATGATATGAAGTAATAAATTTTAATAGATAACTAATTTCTAAATGTATGTATGTAACACCTTTAGTTGTTTATGGAATGCTGAATTAACTCTTTTTGAAAAATCTGATAAGCTAATGATCTCGGCATTTTCACAAAGTCTAAATATTTAATATAACAATTCAAAACGTTAACTTTAATCACTTTTTTATTTTTAATGAAAAGTGTAATAACACTTGCTTCGATAAGTCTGTTTCTGCGAAATGAATAAATGAAATAAGAAAAAAGCACGCAAGTGTTTAATATGCAGATTTAATGAGTTAAATAATTAGTTTAATGATAAAAACGTTTAGCGTTATTCTTTCTCTTATGATGCAGAAATTTAAAATTTATTTGGATTCAAATTAGTTTATTAATTTATCAATTAAAATTAATAACGTGTTAGTAATTTTATTTGAGTAACTTTATAAATGCTTTTAATTTCGTTGCATAAAAAAATATTGTCTTTATCCATATGCGGTTTGTTATTCATAGCATTTGTTTTCTGAACCATAAAATAAGAAATACGCTAGTGCACTTTATTTAAAAAGCCACATACATACATTTAAAATTGTTCTGATGTGCAACGTCAAAAGCCTACCCAACATCACTAATATACGTAAACTGATGACTCTCAAATCAAATTCCTCTTGCAATTTTATATTTCTACTCCACAGATAACTTTTAATTACAATAATGTGACTGCAAGTGTACGAAGTTGGTTTAACAGACATCAATCTGACTTCCAACACCTTTCATTTCCACCAAAAAATTCTGGATCCTAATAAAATATTTTTTAAAACAAGTTGGAAAAACACATCCGACAGCTTCCATCAAATTTATAGAATCTCCAAGCCTTTGGTATTTCCCAGATATGAATATACTTCAGAAGAAAAAAAGCACTCCAGTGGAATCGATGCTCTTACAAACACGGGCTGTTAATTGTGCAAAGCAAAAGCCAAAAAAGTTGGTTCCTAATTCATTTATCAGTGTGTGTATAATTTTTTCCGTACGAACCTAAGAAAAGCTTCACAATATATGCAAGAAGCATGTAAAGTTTATTTTGAACAATGTTACTTTTGATTCTGAGTTTGAATTTGCTTACTTCTTATTTAAAAACTGTTTTACGGTTGTTAACACCTCTAAAAGAAAATGATGAATATTTTCGATTTCACTAATTACTATTAAATATTTAAGACAATTTTCATGCAAGTTATCAGTAGTTCAGTATAAGATTGATTAAATCTCGAATTTTACCTTCGTCAGAACCGTCCTGGCAATCTCTTATGCCGTCTCCAACTTTATTCTTTTTAATGCACTTGGGAATACCACACATACATCTATGCATGTTGTCCGGACATTCTGAAATATAATTTATATAAGCATGCGTGAAACATTCAGTATAATAATATAAACTAAATAAAAAGCTATGTCAATGCTAGATGAATCATATATGACTAAGGTAAGATTAAGAATATTAAATCAAGTTTGATTATCCAAGTTTCTGAGAGGAAGTGAAGGGCTTTAATCCTATCTTCCTTTGTAGATATCTGTCCTATCTTGAAAATATTTGAGTTAATTTATATTAATTTGTAATAATTAATATTTACATTTATTTGAAGAAAAAAAACTAACTTTACCAAGTCAGTGATGCTAAAACAGACTATATAAATTTATAAAAATATGTTTTAACTTTTAGTTTGCTTCACTATATGCATTGATATGGCTATAATTATCATTTTAAGATTCAGTAGATACACTTAAGCATAGTTTCTGACCTGACTAAATAATATTTACATAAGTATCATGAATCTTTTTTTATCTATGCTGATAATATTTATTCATATTTAATTACAAATTAAGGAGGTTTAATTATTTAAAATGCAAATCCTTATCTAAATGAATAAATGGAATATGGGACACTACCATTGAATGCTAAAAGGTTGTTATATAAATATATTTAAAAAGTTATTTCTTTTAAATAATTAATTTCAATTGAACTAAGCCTTTTGAAAACTGGACCTGTATGAAAAATTCAAGTGAGATAAGAATTGTAAAATACATGAATAATTATTTTTATATTTTAAGTCATGCAAAGAAAAAATATAAAATTGTAAATAATGAGAAGAAACTTCAGGAATTTTATGGGTTTCAGAGAATAAGTTTTAAGTAATTGCAAAGACTGATGTTGATGAATTAATTTGGGTTATGTCCTATTTAAATATAATAAATAACTCTCAAACACCAAGAGCTTAGATGATGAGAAAAGAAAAATTAAAATCATTTGTAATCAGTTTTTTTCACACTTAACTCAAGGAAAACGTCATTTTGACAGGTTAATGTAAAAGATTCACAGGTTGTGATGGATCACGTGAGGTCAAATGTAACAAGTTATAATTTAAAGCTTGATGCTTGTTTTAATATTTTTTATTTATTTTCAGAACATATTTTGCTGTTCTGAGTACATTAATTTCATTTCAACTTTACATTTAAAATGCTTCTTTTTTTATTTTCCTTTAATCATCGAAACTTTCATATGACGCATTAGAGAACGAGACATTTTCCGGAATAAACACGAGGAAGAAATTGCTTTGCATAATGATTAATCCTTTTATCCACATATACATGAGAATTTCCCTTGTGTTTTATCATAATGATTACATTTATTATTTAATTAAGCGCAATTAATCATTGTAATATTCATATGATTTGCAGTATTAGAAAGATGGTATATAGAGACAGATATGTTACGGAAATGTATTTGCATTATTTATTTAAATGTCTATTAAAATGATTAATTTGGCTAATAAAACTAATTAGTAAGTTAAGTAATTATAATGGTATTTGTAATAAATAGAATTGGATTTTATTTAAATCTTCCTTGATGAATAATGAAGCTCACTTTGAATCATGTCTCTAATCATCTATCCCGTAATATTTGGTTCTATATGAAAACTTCGGTCTGACTATAGCACAATTACATTATGAATAATAAATGAGCACAGCGTAAATATTGTATTTTTTTGTCTTTACAGAAAGTATATATATATATATATACATTTATATAATTATATATATATACATTTATATAATTCACACTATATAAATTGAGAAAAATGCTGCTTTAATACATTCGAAATCGCAAAATTAGAACTTAGATGAAAATCATATAATATATAGTTATTAACATTATAACGTATTGCACTCTTTATAATCTAATTCTAATGCAATTGATATCCAGTTTTTAAAATTGATTTTTTTAATGAAGTTGCAACGATTTAAATTAAATTGCTGATATTGATTTTAAATTTAAAATACTTTGTGTAGTATAATACTATGAAAAATAAATACTCAATTTTAATATACTTTGTGAAGCGAACTAGTCTGAAAATTAATCATTATATATGTATTTTCAATATTTTCGAAATTACTACATATGTGTATTAATTTTGAAGATAATAAGAGTTTGTCCTTTCGACGAATCAATAACTCTTCGGTGATAAAGTTCAAAAATGTATTTGAATAGTTGATTGTGAAATGCATTACAGGTCATGGATGATTGGCAGCCTGCATGAAAGTGAAAGTGGAGTAGGGCTTTAAGATGACAAGGTAGTTATATCTCTGTAATCAGAATAGATTTAAAGTCATGCGGAATAAGAGTATTAAGTTACGGAATTAATAGAAATATGTTTGATAATTCATTGCCGATATTAATTTCGTTTCCTGATTTAATTTAACCCTAATTCAATTAATCTGAGAAAATAACTGAATTTCAAGAAATTTAATATTATCTATTGCTCGAAATATGCATAAATTATAAATGTCTAACGTAGATTTCATCATAAAGGGAATTAATTAATATAAGAGTTTTGTTGCGATTTGAAATTAATTTTGTTTTATATTTTTCGCTTGTCTGTTTTATCTATTAACCCTTTGACGCAGATGAGACACCAGTGACCTTTTTATATATTTTTATGACTCTCTAATTACAAGGTAAAATATATTTTGGTATTTTTTAATTGTTAAAACAAAGTTAAATAGTTAATAAAAAATATTTGTTACATTATCGGAACTATATTTGTGCTAAAATATAAAAAAACCACAAAAGTTGTAGTTTTCTTTCATTCATATTAAAAAATGTCTCAATAATTGATTTTGTAAATCAAAAATATTTCAATGATGAATAACTGTTTCTCTTTAAATAACTACAATAAGTGTAAATTTGAAAAATTACTTGGAAGAGAGCCACTTTTGCAAGATTTTACCTTTAACGCAAAAATAGACACCGGTGTTTCGATAATATATTTTATTACCATTGCTTTTATTAAAATGTTAAGTATAATATTTTTTAGTTATTTTGACCTAAATTAATACCAAATGAAGAAAAAAAAGTAAAAAAAATATGTTTAATGAAAATTTTGGGTCACAGGGTTAAAAATTATTTTCTGTGTGTTTAATTTTACAACTTCTGAGTCTTTTCTGTTAATGTCGGAAATGAAAAAAAATTTATAGCGAAAATCTTATTTATAGAGCTCATTGTAAATTATTTAAAATAATTCTGCGACAAAAGCAGTTAAGTTAATTTTTTAACTAAGTTTTTTGGTAGGAATTGTGGCCTTTTAAACTAAGGCAGTTAAAATCATTGTTAAATTTGGGAGTTGGATAAGATTATTTGATTTTTCAGATGTGCTGAAAATAATTCTTGATCAAATTACGGCAAAAAGCACCGGTACTCAAGTTACCAGTACTTTTCTACCGTAAAATCGATTTTTTCCAGAACATATGTTATGGAATAAAAATTCTGATGCTCCGCAATTTTTACAGTTATAATTACCGTGAAAAATCTCTCAAATTAAAAAAATATTACTATAAAAATTACGGTATATTTTACGGTAAAAATGAATTTTACGGATAATGTACCTAAAGTGCTGCAACTTAAGTGCGATTTTAAAAGCAGGAACAGACTAGTGTTCATAAGATTTTAATCAGATTTATCGAATGTAATTTATTGAATGTATATCTGATTGCAAAAGACACCTGTTTCAGAAATTTGAATTTTTTAAAAATAAATTCGTTTTATAGTCTAAAAACAAAATTGATAATTTGGACACTTGTTAAGGTTCCTAGGACTAAACTTATATAGCCAGCGCATGGTAAAATTTTTATGAAGAGAGTAGAGGTTATTTATTGTTATATTGCGATTAGTTAAAAGTAAATATTGAGAATTCGTTGCGTGTTTAGGGTTGGTGACTTAATAAATAAATACAATTTTTAGTGATTTATAAAATACACAAATAATTCATGATACTACTCATGTAAAAAGTTAAAGTTATAACGTAAAAAAATAATTTAAATTAAAGAAATTGTGATATTACATTTAGTAAAATGTATGGTCAAAACTACCAGAATATGGTAAAATATACCGCGTTTCCAGCTCAATGGGAATTCCAAAAAACATATTAATTTTTAATGAAGCGCTTTAGTAAAATGAACCATTAAATATTGATTTATAATAATTGTTAAGATTTGGTAATTGTCGAAGAAATTTGTAATTTTATTATGATACCTTAGAATATGGTATAAAAACATTTTTTCAATTAAATTTACTCTGTAGTTTTGTATTTTAAGGGTTTAGTATAATATGAACTATAATTTTGAAAATCGGTGTTTCCGGTAACTTTCCATTTTTTTAACCATAAATATGTTTACCATACAGTACAATATTTTTACCATATTTTTTTTCATAATGTTGCTTCTTTTGAAAACAGTAATTCCAATAGTATGCATTATTATAGTAGTATTGTATATAGTATTGTAGAGAAACAAAATTTTTCTACAAACTGCAAAGCTGTTTTTTAATATTTTTGGAATCAAATTACTGTTAACTTGGATTATTTTGCCAACTGAAAAAATTTTGGGTATTTAAAAATATCTTTGTCAGCTTGACGTCTTTCCGAACCGGGGAGAAAAGATTCTCCTAATTGACACTCTTTCATTATTTAATTTTGGATACTTGTAAGGGTGTAAAGATTTTAAAGCACTAGTGAAATTGCTCTGTCTGACTCAGTTGGCACGGTTTTCTATGAACATTGAGAAAAACGCAAATACGGCAGCGTAATTACAAAACTAATTAAGTATCTGTTTTTTGTGCCATTATTTGTGCTCTATCAATATTGTTGAGCTTTATCCATATGCAGTAGAAAATGGGAGAAATCCGTTTCAAGAAGTTAATAAAAAAGTAGACATCTAGATTCTAATCTTAAATTCATTATTGTGAAAGCATAGCATTTTTAATAACTTAAAACATCGAAGAAAATATGTTTTTTTCTTCACTCACGTATAGATGATTCGTGTCAATAATA